TCTCATAATCTATATATCCCTACATAATATTGTGTCTGCCCACCTAACTCTCTGACTACCTCAAATTTCACTCACATCACTGTTCACCAAGGTGTAGTTGCTCCACTTCGTTCTGTTCCTTAATTGAATCAGGTGTGTTCTACCTTTACACTTCTACATGTATTGTTATCTAAGTTTATTTTTCTCATATTTATTTATTTATTTATTTATTTATTTATTTATTTATTTATTTTCTCCCATTACAATGCAGTATTCATAAGAGCAGGACCTTTTCTATCTTATTCACCCATTCAATTCAGGAAAAACAGGAGACTTGACCAAAAACACTGTCTCCACTATTTTCAGAATGGCACAGGACTGGTAGCGGTTATAGTAACTAACTACTTTAGACATTGCAGGTAAAGCTGCAATTATGGCTAGAAAAACGACTCACAGGATTGATATGATAAGTACATAAAACTTGAAACCAGTCTCATTGGCTTTTGTGACAAAAACAATACTTGTTTCATCGTCATGATGCTCAGAATTCTGCTATTAGTAAATACAACTAGGATTGTGGCCAGGATAGAATAGAGGAGGGAGATAGTGATGAGATAAAATATTAAGCTTTAGGGGTTACTACATTTTAGAAATATTTAGTTTGGGAGATCTTTTTACTGAAAAGAAAGATGAGGAGACAATGAGAACAGTAAATTCTGGGATGGGTAAGGTGAAGAGCAGAGGTAGAGCTTTTCTTAAAGGGATAGAGAGTAGAAAAAAGAGGGGGTGGGAGTGATGCTGGTAAGTTTTACTTATATCACATTTATTTATTTTTGAATTTTATTTTATTTTATATACAGCATGTTCTTATTAGTTATCTATTTTATACACATCAGAGTATACATGTCAATCCCAATCTCCCAGTTCATCCCACCACCACCACCAAACCACCCACCCCGCTTTTGTCTCTTGGTGTCCATACATTTGTTCTCTATATCTGTGTCTCTACTTCTGCCTTGCAAACCGTTTCACCTGTACCATTTTCCTAGGTTCCACATATATGCGCTAATATACGATATTTGTTTTTCTCTTTCTGACTTACTTCACTGTGTATGACAGTCTCTAGGTCCATTCACATCTCTACAAATGACCAAATTTCACATTTATTTTTAAAATCTATATGCAACTATACACTTATGAGACAGTATATCTTATAAAGAGTCTTTGCTGACTATATTTTACTTAAAATAGCTGTTATGTCATATTTGGTCATTGAATTATATAAAGTTTTAATTATTTTCTGATAATGAAAAGCATACATTTGATTTTCCCATTAACAAGATATTTTTTTTTTTCGGTAACAAGATGCCATCTTTTTAAAAATACAATTTATAATGCACTATAAAATACTATAAATGTTACTGTGCCCATGGAAGCTGTGTTGTTTCTTTGTGTAAAAATAGTTGTCAGAATTTGTGTTGATTTACTTTAAATAAAATTCAGTCAATGTAATGATTGCTCCAGAATTTGATTAAATGCTATTAACATATCCTCAAAAATATTCCATTTTTGCTTGTGATAAGTTGTTGCTTTGAATAAAATAGATTTAGAGAAAACTTTGTGCTCTGACACTCTTGAATGCCATGCTTGAGTGATCTTGGTCTTGATCTCTAGTCAAACCTTGATCACCAGCATTTTATAAAACCCTTCTCACCATGGTCAGTAAGGTCTCTGCATGGCACACCCATTGGGCGATCTCAGGCCTCATCTTTCTGAAGCCCCAGGCCTCATCTTTCTGAATTTCTTAGCAACATTTGACTCAGCATTTGACATTCCATTTTAAAATTCTTCTCTTGGTTTCTGAACTTCTTCAATGTCTTCTATAGTTTCTTTGGCCATATCTTCTTTCTTGAGTTCCAAATGATGAGGTGCCATAGGGCTCAATTCTCAGACATCTTTATCAACATTTGGTGATCTCAGCCAGCACATGTATAAAAACCATTTATATACTGAAGATTCCTTAGAGTTATAGCTCTGTCTCTAACCTTTCTCTTAAAATAAGAATTACTTGATAGCTCTTTTTGTAAAAAAATAAAAGGCTTATAAAATTTAACACATTAAACCAGAATCTTTGATCTTTTTCTCTAAAATATGCTCTTCTCCATCAGTTCCTTGTATATGTGAATGATTTGTCATTCTCCCAGCTTCTTGGGTCAAAAAGCTCTGGAATTAACTTTGACATAGTCCACATCCAATTCATAATCAAATCCTGCCACACTTCCACTCAAAATATATCTTAAAATGTCCACTTCTCATCAATTCCACCTCTACTGTTCTAGTCGAAAGCAACTTCATTGTCTGCTAGGTTGGAAGGACCGCTTCTCCACTGTTCTACCTGAGGTCCTCTTAGAGCCTGTTCTTCACCCTCTAGACCAAGAGATGCTTTTAAAATATGAGTCAGAGCCTGATTGGACTCTCTGTTTGTAATCGTTAATGGCTTTTCCTTATACTGAAGATAAAATCTAAACTCCTTTTCCTGGTTCACAAGACTGCGTATAACCTGGTTCTTGTCCCAGCGATTTTTCCTGCTACCACTCTTCCTGTTGTTAACTGTTATCTAGCCAAAATCACTCCTGTTCTTTGAACAAGGCCAGCATGCTCTTAAGACAGGGCCTTTGAGTTTGCTGTTCTCTCTGCCTCTCTCTCTCTCTCTCTCTCTTTCTCTTTCTTTCTCTCATTTGATCATGTCAAATGTCAGAACCTCAGAAAGGTTAATTCCTCAAACCTCTATAAACAGCAGACTCTCACTCTACCTTCTTGTGCAGTACTATTTTTCTGCACAACATTCATCATCAACTGAAATTATATCACACATTTATTTGTGAGCTTGTTTATTGTTTGCCTTCCCTATTACAACATAAGCTTCACGAGGACAGGGACTTTAATTTGCTCATTGTTTTATCCCTAGCATCTAGCTCAGTGTCTGCTAATTAGTAGGCCTCCAATAAATATTTGTTGAAAGAATGAATGAATGATGATTTATATATCGAAAGAGAACCATTGTTCACAAGCTTAAATCTTATGTGATCTCTGTAGGACCTCATAGAAAGCTGTTATTACAGTTGAATCACAGTGGGAATATGAATTTCATGCTATTAGGACAGGCAGAAAAATTGTTGAGGGTGACTGGCTGTGTGACAGGAGCACCACTTTGAGATGTAGAAGCCTGGATCCTCACTCTTCTGAACAGCAGAATACACTTTATGGCTTACTACAAGTATGCACACCAGATGTTCTGATTCAGAGGTTTAAGTGGACCTATACTCATGTAATTGTTTTAGGTTGAGTTCCATAGAAGCAGAACTTGAGACAGGGATTTGAATGATGTGATTTACTGTGAGAGTGCTTGCAGGTGAATCTATAAGGAAGGGAGGAAAAGAGGATGGGAAGTAGAAGGAACTGAGCAAGAGTGTGGTCCCAGGTGATCTAGCCTTGGCCTGATGTACACGACTAAGGCTCTGGATCATAAACTGCACCATAAAGTTGTTTCCTCCTTGAAGCAAGGGACCAGTATCAGTCAGTATCAGCCAGTCATTGACCTTGGGTTGCTTGATTGTGGGGTTGGTACCTTCTCAGGTAAGGCATCACCCGTAAGTGGAGGGCAGTTCTCCAGAGGGGAAGCTTAAAACCATTCATAGCCAACACTCACAGCAGCTAGAGGATGGTGCCCTGGCCCAGTGCAGGGGAGCAGGGCAGGCCACCCCAATGTCTTCTACAGTGGGAGCAAAAGGGGCTATTTGTGAAGCACAGATATTCATTTGTTCAACAAATATTTATTGTAGCTGTCCTGAGCCAAGTACTACCAGCCTTGGGATTGACTGGTGAACAGACATGGTCCCTGCAGCATGGCTAGGGAGAAAAAGAGATTTTAATAAAACAAGCATGCAATCCTGATATGATACATATTGAATTATCACCAAATAATGAACTGAAGCAAGATTGTAGAAATAAATCCATGATATTGTATAGGTAATGGTTTCATATAAATGATATTTGCTGTAACTCTTAGAAATATTGTATAAACTGTTAATCACTGTGATCTTTAATGCTGGCTGTATATTAATCAAATAGTTCTCAGCCATTATTTGAAAACTCAAATATAATAAAGAAATGTGTTTTTAGCCTGGAAACCATGTTGGTATACAAGTCCTATATTCGGTCATTATTTAAAAATCAAGATGATTTTCTCTTAGTGGCAGTTGAAACAGAGGAAAAGTAAACATTAAAAAGTTTAAAGACAACTAAGATCCTCAGTTGGATGCTAATTCTTTTTTGTATTTTATAAATTACTCCCCTAATCCTATCCCTCACTGGCAAAGGCAAGAACAAGAGCTGTATGAGAGCTCTTGTTTTTGTGGAATACTCAAGTTCACAGACTGCCCACAAACCTTTAGTCCATGTGGAGGATAAAATTTTATTGCAGTCAATGAATTGTTATAAAATATTCACCACTATAAGGCTGGCATAACTATGTTTAAAAACAGTAAAATTTGAAGGACAAAAAGTCATTTGAGTGAATAGGTACAGATCACTAAGTTCCAAGCAAATCTGACAAGTTAGTATAGGAGGTAAGATCTGCCACAAACAATATAATAGGAAAACTTGTTTTATACATTAAATTATTAGAGAGAAATACACAAAAAGTATTTTTAACCACCAATAAATTGGATGCCAGTAAATATCAACCTGTAGCTCCTGGTTTTTTATCTAAAGGTCTATTTTCTTTTCTTTTTTTTTTTTTTTAATATCTGCCCAGTGCTATGGAAACTACTACATTGAAAAATAAGCTAGCTAATGAGCAACATAATACATGTCAGTAGAATAGTATATTTCTCATTTCTTTTCCATAGAGCGAATTTCAAAGGAATGTAATTCTGTTGAAGTGTCACCAAACAATTTCTTCAAGAGAGTACAGTGTCGGCAGAAATAACAAGGCTTATTTTCAGTAATTCTGTTCATACCTCAAATCCCTGTGGTCTTCCTAGACTCTCTTTAATATGTTTCCATGCAACAAGAATCTCTGACACAGACACACTTGTAGCCTTGACATCTGTGGGAGCAGCAGTGGGTTCTGTATGAAGGAAAATGGAAATAATAAACCACGATGGTAACAAGTTATGCATACCAAAGCATTGCACCTGAATAATTCAGGTGTTACTTCCTGCTATCTGATTTTTGAAATGAAGTGCTGTGATGATTATGAGAAGCACAGCAAGAAAAAAAAGATGTTCTTTTTGGATTTCTACACTGTGTCCAAGTCTCATCAGTACCTTACCAATGACAAATAACAAATCTAGCAAGAAAAGTAAAGAAGATCTTTATCCTTGGATTAACAAGGACATTTCTGGAGAAGTTAAATTGTCTGACTTAAAACTGTCTGCCAGTCTAACATAATGATCAAAAGAATGGACTAGGAGTCAGGCTTGGATTTTTTTTTTTGCTGTTGTTGTTGATTTTTGTCTTCCAAAAAATTACTTACCTTCAGACAAGTTGCTTTACCTCTTCCTGAGCTCCAGTTCCATCTTCTGTCATTTGGGCATATTGAGAGTACTTAGCTCATAAACTTTTAAGGTTAATTTTAATTGAAATAATACATATAAATTATTTAGCACAGTGCTTGGCACTTAAAACATTCATTCACAAAATATCACTTTTTATTTTATTTTTTTACCCTGTCAAGGCACAAACAGAATCTATATTTAATTAGATTTCTTTTGTTGTTCCAACCACAAAGCTACATTTCCATGATTGTGTAAGGAATGTGTTATGAATCATGATATTTGAAAGGCATGCATTGACTTTTAAGACAGATATAGACCAAAAAGGAAAGTCCCTGAAGGTCTCAGTGCTGTTGCTCAAAACCACCTTTTCATTCATTCCTATGCTCAATGACCTTTCTTATTACTTTTTTTTTTTTTCAAATACACCATGTCTGACTGGCATCCATCAAGAGGTGCACTTTATTTGAGGTTGTAATCTATGTGAGGAACAAAATATTTTCAGCTTTAACATTGCTGAATCATAAATACTGTGTCACAAACACAGGTTAAATGAAATGGCGGAATAAATGCCATAAGTTAGTTCAACTAGTCTATACAAAGTCGATTTCAAAAACTCCTACCCCATAAAAATTGTAGCGGCTTTTTGATTCTAATGCCATATCACTGGTAAGACTTCAGATGAAACTGTGGACACACACACACACACACACAAATATATATATATATATACACACACACACACACACACACACACACACACACACACACATTTTTTCTTTTTGTTTTTAGATTCAGGGAACCTTACTGCAAAGGCAGAGTTCTAAATAAATTTTTAAGTCTTGGGCTTCCCTAGTGGCGCAGTGGTTGAGAGTCCGCCTGCCGACGCAGGGGACACGAGTTCGTGCCCCCATCTGGGAAGATCCCACATGCCACGGAGCGGCTGGGCCTGTGAGCCATGGCCGCTGAGGCTGCGCATCCGGAGCCTGTGCTCCGCAATGGGAAAGGCCACAGCAGTGAGAGGCCTGCGTACCGCAAACAAATTTTTAAGTCTTAGTCATATAAAGGGAATTATTGAGTTGGTCAAAAATTTTGTTTGGGTTTCCCGTAAGATGTTATGGAAAAGCCCAAATGAACTTTTTGGACAACCCAATGTAACCATTTGCTGAGATTTTTTCCTTTTCTAATGGAAGGAAAGTGGCCACATATCTACCTGGAGAGCCTTTATATATTATTAATTGAAAAATATAAGTCAAAAACATCTACCCTTGTTACTGTAAAAAAGCACACAGAAGACTTTTTCAAAAGTTCATGTTTGCACTGAGCAATGATTTTTCTTTTGGTAACGCTTTCATTAAAATTATATACTATATTTGTGTTACTTCAAAGTGCTTTGGTAAATTCACATTAATCTTTACACAGAAGCTGACATTAGTTTCTGCCATGGTATAAATTGTCATTTCTCATTCTGCCCTTTGAATATCTTTTATTTTCTTTTGCTCAATGGTTTCCTTCATCCCACTTTCCAACTGCCTATTATTTGTGCATCTACCAGATTAAAAAAAAAAAAACTGTGAAAAGCTTCTACTTTTATTTCATTCTAGAATTCTGTTCAGCAGACCTGCAACAAAATTTTTTTTCATTGCTATTTAACAGGAGTTAAAATTCTTTATTTTGCAAGTAAATGAAAAGAAATGCTCATGTTCTTAAGTGTGTATAATCTGACCTCCAGGATTTAGGATATGATTTATTTCAAAGAAATCCACCCTTTGAATATCATTTGTTATTTGGAAGAAGTTTTGCTTATCTTTTAAGTGAATGCATTGCAGAGATTTGTGTGACAAATGCCTTCTTTCAACTTTTTTTTATTATTGAGGCAATTACATCTTTGTCAAAGGAGATTGCAGGGGGATAAACAATTTCAGAAGCACAAAACGTGGTTGGATGGCAGCCTTTCGATCTCTCTTTACCACTAGAGAAAGAAATTTCTCTCTCAGCTTTCTGTAGCGCTACACAAGTTTAAGTACTTTTTAAATAGAATGACAAAAGTTTTAAAAAAGTAAAAAATAAAGAAAAATATTCAGAAATTATTTCCCAAACCAGCACCCTAATTTCTATTTAAAACCTCTAAGCTTTTTAAATCCAGGTCAGACACAAGAAGACATTTCACAGTTGCACACTTGGGGGATAAATATTATAGTTGCATCAAATGAATGAGGGTAAATGAAACAAGAATTGAAGAGTCATTTCTTATTTTTTTCACCTTCTGGATGTAAATAGTATAAGAAGTAGACCCATGCTGACCTGCATTGGAAATTTAAGCATGTAAAAAAGTGACCTCATTCAGTTTACTTCCAAAAGTTTCAATTTGTACGGTTTATTAGCCAGTGAATATTTTCATGTGTATCAAAAAGTTTGTCTGCAGGCAAGAGTAACTGACTAGATCATAGAATGTCTGCTTTGAATTGGAACTAGCTGTCCTGTTTGGGCATCCCATTGCAGTTGAATGATGGAAAGTCACAACTAGAAAGAATTTTAGAAAGTCACTTGGATCAAAGGTCACACATGGATGGCCAGTGGGTCTTCAGCCATATTTTGTTTGCCCAAATAATCTATTAAATTAATTAATTCCAACATTCCATCTAAAAATAAGAATTTATGGCTTATTTGGGGGAAAAAAGGGGGATACCAAGTCTGAATCCTTGGGTGCTGGTAGATGAGAATTAGCAGTTGTTCCCGTTAGTCAGGGCATATTCTTTTTAGTTTGCCAGATTCTCTACCAGTCTTTATTGTCTCACTTCTGGGACTACTTTACTTATTTATATTTCTTACCTGATGTCTATAGGCTTTTGAGTTACGAACCTATGTTTTAAATCCATGCTCTCATTTTTTTTTTTTGCTTTTTAAATTTTTTTTTAATCTAAAATACTGTAAAATCACATAATATGATTCAGAAGGCAAAGTGTCATCAGGAGCAAAATAATAAATCCAGTGCTCTTTCACTGTAAATATTTATTATTCTCTTACTTCTAATTTATTGTTAATTTGATGAATGCTCCCTATCGTGAAATTGTTTAGATGCCACATACACACAGTTCTCATTGCTCCCTCATCTTAGTGATTGTAGACTCAATGAAGATTTGTGTCTCTGTGATAAGTTTGCACAGGCTACATTACCTGCATAAAGGAAAAAGGACTTAAGAATATCATTGTATATAATAGGTACTGTTTGAAAACTTAAACATGCCCTCATTTTGCAGATGAAAAAAGTGACATAGAAACAGGTTGATTTATCTGAACTCTGCTTCTGTCTCTGAAAGAGCCCCAAGTAGAACTCAGGTCTCAAGTGCTCTCTCTTCTGTTGTTTTTAAATGGCACCAAGGAAGCAGCTTGCTCATTCTTTACCTCTTAGGGTCAGTTTTGGGGTGCAGAAGAGATTTTACAAGAAGAAGATATAGTCAATTCTCTTGCTGCACAATTGTTTCCAAATAACTGACAGATGAATGAATGGAATAAGATTAAAAACAAATGAACAAAAATAACAAAGGAAATAGATGAGGGAGGAATAACCAAAGATAATAATAGTAACTGCCATTTCCTGAAGATTTGATATATGCCAAGCCTTATTTAAAATTCTTTATAATGTATCAATTAATCCTCCCAACAACCCTACTATCATTGTCACCATTTTTCAGATGAGGAAATCTAGGGGCAGAGAGGTTAAGCAACTTGCCCAAAGTTGCACAGCTGCTAGAGGGTGGAGAGAAGATTTGAACAGAGCAGTCAGGCCCTGACCACCACACTGTTCTGCTTCTGTGCACACATCTGTGTTTACCCCCCTGGTGCTTCTTCCTACTGCTTTCTCTTCTCCTTGCCCCACCATGCCTAACTTCTCTCAAGAATATTTATGTTGGAATCCCCAGCTGGCCTCTCTAAGTCATGCCAGAAACCACCTAAACCCCCGTCATCTCCTGTTTAACCCTGCCATAGGCATACTATCAACTCCTTTTATTCCTATTTTATGGAACTTTTGGTAATTTTGAACCACAGCTACACTGCTCCTCATAGATCTTGTCATATTCAGGCATCTCTAAAACTCTCCTGATCTGTAAATCACAGGATGCTTCTTTCCACGCTCACTTCTATCTGTTATGCTTGGGTAATTTGACGAAAATTCAGGGATTTATTTGAGATTACACTAGCATTTTGTCTAATAGATTCAAAGATTTTTGAAGATTTCTTTTTTTCACTTATGATGATATTAATTAGGCCATGGCTGACTCCTTCACTCCAATCTTGGGATATAAAGTGGACAGGCTGACTGATAGAATTCAGTTCCTGTTAGATTAAAAATTTTGTACAGCATTACCGTGTTCATGAATTTAGATGATACATTTGTATTAAGTGACCTAGCAGCTGGAGTTCTCCAAGTAATATGGGCGGATGTGCTTATAATATTGATTATACGTTTGACTTCCCAGGAGGGGTGGGTAAGAGCATTAATCAAAGGACAGTTTAATAAACTCCTTGGGAGAAGGGTTAGGGTTTCATTATTTAAAAATTCAGTTAAGAC